CCCCAGCTGCCCTCCCCTGACAGCTCCATGCCGTTCCCTCGGGCCCTGTCGCTGTCACACAGAGCAGAGCTCAGCGCTGCCCCTCCGCTCCCTGTGAGGAGCTGCAGCCACCATCAGGCCTCCCCTCAGCTCCTCTGCTCTGGGCTGAGCACACCGAGGGACCTCAGCTGCTCCTCATACATCCTATCCTCAGGCCCTTCACCATCTTCACAGCCCTCCTTTAGAAGCACTGTAATAGCTTTATCTACTTTTTAATGTTGTGGCACCCAAACCTGCACTAAGTGCTCAAGGTGAGGTTGCACCAAGCAGAGCGGAATGGGACAATCCCTCCCCTCACCTGGCTGGCAGTGCTGGGCCTGATGCACCCCACAGTACAGTTGGACTTCTTGGCTACTCAGATTCAACTTGTCATCAACCAAAGCCCCACTGCATGTTCCGTCAAGAGTAAACATCTCCACTTTCACTTCTGCCAGGCTTCATTGAACTCACTTGCTTTCAGTCCTCTGAGTCCCTGCCTTAAATGGGTTGAGAGGTAACTCACATTCTGAGTCGTATCAGCACACAAACTTTTAAGAAAAGGTCCTGGACCTTTGGACTTGCTGAGGTCATTCATGTTTTGTTGGTGTAATTCATTTCAGTGAGGTGTCATTCTCAAAGCGTATCTGTTGAAAACAGGCTTTGGTTTTGGAAACTCGGTTGATATCTACATGGAAATCATAACTACAGCCAGTAACAGAAAATGTCTCATGCTCAGGAAAATGCTGAAGAAACAGCGCCCAATGCAAGGACAAAAAGCAAACAAAAACTACCTCCCACAAACCTGTCACAACATTTCAGTCCATTCCCTTAAGGGACACTCATCAATTGTGGTGGAGCGCTGCAGGGTTCACGTCCTTCTGCTGAGAGAAGGTACTTCTGCTAAGAAGTGTGAGGAACAAACCATGTGTGAATGCAGCACACACGCATCCCAGGTCCTGTTGCTGCTGTGGTTAATGGCATACTGTACTGCTTCAACCTAGTTCCCAGCCAATGCAGAGCTCCAGTCTCTGATTCCTACAGCAGGAGAGCTACAGATACAGCACATTAGTATTTGCTCTTAGGGAAAAGTGTAAGAGCCCCCCTAGCAATCCACTTCAAATACATTTTATGCACACTTTATCATGTAACTACATTTGCCTTTAAAGATACACAGGATACTTTGAACAGTATACTGGCAAAGGGGGCATAAGATGTCTAATAATAAATGCCAATTGTGTTTTTATTTCAAAGTATCTTTGAAAGGAACTTAGATGGCCCTTTAGTTTCCATTTTGCTTTCACAGAAAGAAGTTCAGCTTAACTTTTCAAATATGACAAGTAACTTTTGGATAGTCAGCTTATGATATTTTGAAAGACGTCATCTTTAACAAGCTTAGCGACTAGCGCACAGAAAATCATCTTTAAGACACTGAAACAAAAAAGTTTTGAGTATACAAAATCAGGTTGCCTTTCTGAACATTAAGCTGTTCCCCAGCATTTACTTATCTTATTTGCTTCTCATTCCCTGTTATTCCCTATCGAATGACTTACCAGATTCTCTCTCTGCCATCCAGATCAAATGCTCTCTACAGGTAATGATTCTCCTTGCTTCACTTGTTTTCCTCCTGCAGGCACACCTAGCATTTAGTGCTGGTCAATATTCACCTCCAAACTGATCTTGGCAGGAGTCTCCCATTCTACAGATCACAAAACTGAAGCAGACTCCTGGTGAAGGAAGCACCCACTGATCTCAAGCCTAGAAGTAGCTGGAGTTGCTCCAAGTTCTGTAGTAGTTCTAACAGAGACCTACAGCATTGTCATGGCAGAAGTGGGATGCAGCAGGACCTCCTGACTAAAGTGGGGACTTCTTGCCTGAATCATCATGTTCTGCGTAAGTTGAGTACAAGTTCAACATATCACCAGCAGACAAATAAGATTCCATTTCCAGTCCCACCTGAAGAGTCTGCCTCGGAAGTCAATAATGCAGCAATCAATCTGACAAGCCAAGGATATCCATCCTACAAAATACCTACAAAATACAGATATGCTGCCCAGAAAAAAAACTTTTTTTCCCAGAATTGACAAATTTTATCAGATGCCACAACCCTGAATTAACATATGTGTAAGTCAAAATCTGCTGTTCTGTTTTTCTTCAAACTGCTACAGGGAAAAAATTAGAAGGAATTCTAAATATTTCAATGCTCTTGGAATTAATGCAGTATTGCAACAGAGGTGAGGCAGTTGCCAAAACTTAATACGAAACATTATATTTAATGCATACTGGTTATTTTATCTTAAGATGCAAACACTTTTTTTTCACTTCTGAATAAAGACAAAGCCCATCGTGATACATTCAAACCGTTCTGAAACCAGACAGTCTGGGCACCAGTACTTAATGGTTAACTGCTGAAGATGGGCAGATGAGCAGTTGAATCAATTGCTTTCAATCATGTCTTCAATTCTTTCCCCAGGGAAATGCTTGAGTAGATATCATTTGAAAAAGAACAACCTGGAAAGCACACAGGTTCTATGTTTCAGAGCTCTAGCCAGCCAGTTTGCAGAAATCCAGGAAATGAGATGTAGAGCAACACTAGACTGTTTTGGTCCCTAAAGCAAAGAAATACACCAATGGGTCAGCTTAGATCTGCAGTAACAACTGGCATGTGAGATTTCTGTTCTCCTTAGATTATTCTCTTTTCAATTAAAAACCATTATAATTTAGATTGTGTGCTCATTTACAAACCACTGCAGTCAATTATGAATTATCAAGGGCCAATAAATTTACAACAGTACTTAAGAGTTTTGCCAGAAATTGGGAAACTTTTTTCCAGACACATAAGAAGCACAAGATACTTACCCTGAGACATTTTGTCAAGGGAAAACTAAAATCAAGCTGCAGCTTGTATGATTGCAGCACACTGAATAAAAACAGTTGAAGTCTGAAGTGAACGAACCACAGACAAATGGCAGGAATCAGGGACTAAAGCTCATTATTTTGTAGTGAAGTTAAGAGTATAATTCTCCAGAAAAGTCTATTATAAGAGGAAAAAAACAATTCAACACTTTCCCTGTTACAGAGAAAAAAAGGGAAATAATGACTACTAAAGAGAGAATATAAGAGAATATATTTACTCTATAGCTCATGCACACATTATGCTTTTCACAATGCTTTTATTCTCTTTCATTTTTACTCCCTACCGATGGTCAAAGATTTGTCTATATTGCATAGCGAAATCATTGCTGACAAGTGGTCACAGACAAATTTCCTACATCTACACTTGTAACAAGAGATATACCCTGCTCTAGTTCAGCTGCACCCTTTGTTGTCAGCAACTGTCAGCACTGGTTCAATTTAATGCACTAAAGAGAGTACAAACAATTTGGAAAGAATGATTTAAGTGGAGTGGGTCCCACCCGGCTCCTTCAGAACACACATACAGAACAGCCAATGCAAGAAAAACATTTAAAAATTATTAGGTTATCTAACAGCAAAAAACCATCAGATCTGGCAGTGGGATTCAAAGCATCTGAAGTTACTTAAGTGTCACGACCATAAAAAATCCCAGGAAAAAGCCAGCAAACCAAAAACATGACTTGTCAGTTTCCCAAGTTAGATTCACTCATTTCTCCAGCACTCTGTGATAAAGAGTGCAGTAACAAAATCAGTATCACATATCATCAGAAGCGTTATATACTGTAAGAAAGAAATATCATTGGTAATTTAAAAGGCAGTCCATAACTTCTCTGTAGAAGGTAAATCCAAGTAATGCAGATTGCACTGGTGGAGCCTACCACAGCTTTGAATCATGTTGACAGTCACTCTCTAATAGCCAAAAGAATTACAGTCTGCTGGATTAATGTTGTACACTGTCATTAGGCTGGCAATTAAATCCCATTTCTGAGATTGTGTGATCTGAGTTACCAACATCTGCAAATATTCTTACATCTTGTGTAACAGCTGGCCACAGATCATGATACAGCAAAGGAAAAAGGCCTTTTTAATGGCTCCCACGTTATTCTGGACTTAAAACTTCATGATGACAGCAGCTTCTCAAAACAGCCCATGAATCAAATTTATTATCCATTTGTCATGTGGGACTTCTTAACTCTAAGCCAATATAGCAATAAAGAATCAAGGTCATTGTTTATTGTACATGAATAAAAATTAACCACCTGTTCAAAGTTTTACCTGTTGACATTGAGTGGTATTTTGGTCTCAGAGACTTCTGACATCTATAACATTTACCAGTTTTGTGAACACGTGAGAAGCCACTCTCAAAGAGCATCTCCACTCATGACAGTCCGTCTTAACCTTAAAAAATGGTCAGCCATTCTGCTTCCAACATCAGTTGCTACACACAGTGAGATGGGCAATTCAATTACAGGATGCTCTCACAAGGAATTAATTTCATTCCCAATAGTATCATTGAATAGCTAAGCAGATCAGTGATTTTCAAGAGATCATTTAATGACAAGAACTGCAGTACAGGAAGATCTTTAACAGCCATACTGAACAGAGAAGAGAGACTTTGAAAACGAAGATGTGGCTCTACAAATCCGTTGAAGAAAGAAAGAAATGTTACCTGCAATCACAGTCATGCTAGGCACTCCTTTCGTTAGAGCTTATCCATGAGGCCTAATAAAATGCTAAGAATGGAGATTTAAGTAAGGAACAATACTTCGAAAAATCCTGATCCTTTACTTCTTAAACAATTACTTGCAATAATAGAGGAACATAAAATGTTTGCAGCCAAGAATCACAGAGCATAACCAATTTGAAAATCCAAAATAAGGTAGTCAGGGGACTTCGTTTGGAATGCACAGACAATGACTTTCTCCAGAGTGTTTTCTCTGAGGCAGATGCCCCAGGCAACTACAGATCACTCACACCAAGCACTGACTGGCACTCACAGCTCGCTAGGGACTAGAGACATGCAGAGGCCCAGGCCCTCCCTCCCAAAGCAGGTGCAAAGCGGGCAGTACCTCTTTGATGCGCTTCACCAAAGCATTCTGGTCAAAGGCAACAGCCTCTGCGCACTGGTGAAGATGGTCCTGGTACCGGAGACACAGCTGCAGCACTTGATGTGGATCCAGCTTCTCTAGCTTGGTGTTGGATGGAGACGTCTGCCCACTGAGGAGTCCTGCAAAGCAAGGGGAGCAGTGGAGTTAACTCAGCTGTTCATATCACCAACCCAGCTGCAGTCAGAAGCAGCACAGCACATCCAGAATAAACACTTTTAAAGGAATAATTAAAAGCTAATTCAGGCTGCAAGGCTATCGAATGGACTTCAGCAATACAGAGGTCCAGGGGAAGCTAGAAGTGGGAAGGACATGAATTTTTGGATGTTAAGGTTTCGTAGCAGTGTGAAGAACAGTTTGCTATATAGCTTAGCCCTCCTTGACAGAGCTTAAATACAGAATCTAAATGTAGCACCATAAGGCACGACAGCTTGGTTTACACTGGTAAGCTGCATGAAGCAAGTCCTGCTTCTTCTTTGTCACAAACCATTCTGAGCTCCAAAAATGACCCTCCTTCTCATTTAAGTGTGCCAGAGAAGTAGTCCAGTTCTGTGCACCCCTAAGGGCATAAGACTCAAACTAATTTCTAAAAACAATTACAATTCACTGGTTATGCAAAGCAAAGCTGAATAAAAAAGGTCCCACGTAAGTTAAATGAGATAAAACGTCCAGGCTTTGCCAACCTTGACTTTTAGAAGAATCCTTTCACGCTGTAATAAAGATTTTTCTTTACAATCTCAAAGACTAGCTACATATATTTAAATTTTATAATGAAATTAAGATTCTTACCTGCTCCCTACCTATCTACATGACTCCAGGTTTCACAAAATGCTCACAAAAAAAAGAAGAAAAAAAAAAGAAATGGCATGACACTTAAAAGTGGGCCCAGTGGGCCACTGTTAATACCCAGAGAAACAAAAGGCAAAATCATTTAAAGAATTTCTCCTGCCCGTTCTTTACTGCTTGCACTGTGCAACTTGAGAACCTTGGTTGAGCCCAATCATACATGCATCACATGTCAATTTTCTCCACAACTTCTGGAAAAAGTGATATTAAATATTAAGGTCAAGCTTTATGTTTATATATATATTTTTTTTTGTATATGTATATATATATATATATATTTGTATATGTATATATATATGATTTTTCTTTCCTTGATTTATTCTCATTTCATTTTGCTCCAGCATTAGCAGCACATTCTCCTAGCTGGGACGCCACCTGTGACAAGCGGCACACATAAATACAATCTGCTTTTTCCAACACATCTGTCAGGCTACATAGGCTGAATTCGGCAACTGCACGCACACGTCCTTTGGGGCTCTCCATTTACCAACAGGAAAGGACATTAAAACGGCAAATGCAAGAAAGTATCACACCAAGCAATTAAAAGAAGTAATAAATGCAGGTTAACTGAATTGGAAAAGTTCTTCTAAGAATGTACCTCACTGGGAAATGGAAATTACTTGAATGGCCCCCATGCATACTGAAAGCTACAAACAAGCTGTGATATAAAGTTCTTGCCAAAAGACTCACAAACTAGACAGAAAGACTGAGGCTGAAGTATCTTACGAATTTGAGAAAGTTAAACCTCTTCAAGAACATTTCCAGACAGAAATGAAAACAAAACTAGGACAACAATCTCATCAAATATGATGAAGTGAGTTTACTTTGCATCAACAGTCAACATGTTATCCTCTCAGGATGCTCTCAGTTTTCCTTTACACAAACTCTTTCTTTTCCTCATCTTCAGAGAAAAAAAAAAAAAAGATAGTTTTGTTTTGCTGACTTGTTGCCCACTACAACACCACCACCTGAGTCAAGACATCAGGAGAAGAAACACCAGTAACTGTTTGGTCTCAACACTCTTTATTAACCAAAGCATTTATTTTCTATAAAGAACCACCTCCAACAGAATCTTAGGCCCAGCAATATCAATTGCAAATCTTTCAAAACTACTCTCAGATGAAGTGCAACACTTCAGTGAGTGCAAACCAGAAATTAGACTTTTCCTTTTAAGTGTATACATGACATGTTTTAGCATTCCATCAGCTTCTTAGTTTTGATCCTCTCTACGTTTAACTTTTCAGGATAAATGTTCAGATAACATCATCACCTTTTACTATGCCGAATGTTCACAAAACAATGAAGAGTTCGCCATACACCTGAGGCAGTTTCTCTATTTCCTCACTGATTTAAATACACAATGCTATCAACTAACTAATTTTCTTTTGGTTGACTAACCTCTCATCAACTTCAAGAGGAGTGAAGAGAATTAGGCTCTATTTAATAGTTTTAATTAAAATGAAGCATGCATTTGGGCTAACTTAAGCTGCTTCTAAGAGTTTTAAGGAGAAATAGGCCAAGGACAATGAAATGAGCTGCAAAGGACTATGCTACCTAAACGTACTTACAGCCCTGTAGAGGTTACATAATGCTAAAAGCAAAGTGAATAAATTGCAAGGAGCCTCTGACTCACCATCCAACAAAACATGAGCTCAAGTAAACGCAGACATTCAAGCTGGAATACCTTCATAAGGCGGCAGAAGTTCAAATAAATGACATACATCGTTCAAAGACAGAGGATGGTATTATCTGTGGTGATGCAGCTGGCTGGAGCCAAGGCAATTAGCTTCTCTCCAGATCTCTAGGTTCACGCTGCCAGTGTCAGAGAAAAATTTAGCTCAGAATTTCAATTTATAGGAGATGAAAAATTAGAATAAGCAACAGAATGAAAAAGGCCATGTACCTTTGTATCTGACAAAAAAAACCCTCAACAAAAATCCGTCTCCCATCTTTTCTTGTACACAGTGACTACTTACTACCCACACTCTAAATATTAATATTTTATTAATTCACAGCTACTTTTTTTTCAGCAAGTCAGTAGCTTTACTTCAAAAGAGCAGATAGCAGCAGTAACTCATCTTGATACATCGTGAAAGAGACTGAAAACAGTTAAGACAGTTGAGGAGTCCAGGAGGAACCAAAGGATTCAGTGCTGCAACCTGCTGCTCCATATCTCTCTCCTTCATCCTCTCCTCGTAAGCAGGCAGCAGTGATCCTAGAAGGCTATCATGCACTATCCACAAGCTCAGCCCTATAGGATAGTGGAGCAGCACGCTGCCCTACAATCATGAAAAGCTTAAGATTCACAGGAGAAAAAAAAAAAACCAACAACCAAGAGACATGGAAAAAAAGGGCAGAAGGTTAAAAAGGGTGTTGCTGGTATCCTTTGTTTCTGTACAGCAAAGAGTTGAGGAGATAAACTACAAGCCTCCAGTGATTCAGCATTGAGACAGCTTCGTTTCTGGAGAACTGTGAACTTCCAGGTATTATTAAATAACTTTCTTCTTGAAAATCACTACTTCCTTCTCCAAGCTCTGTCCCACACTTTGAACTCTTCACTGAATAGCCCCATCCTATGGGATGGAAGTAGAGTTGGCAGATATGCGAATTTTAAAAGGATATGAGATCATATCTCGTGTAACAAAATATTTATTAGGTCAGTCTCTCAAGCGCCAAAAGGTGGAGAGGACAGAGGTCCCCAGTGGCTCAGGCTGCCTCCTGAAGCAGCCAGCATATGAACTCGCTCATCAGCATGCCAGACCTCACTGCTGTCCTCACAGTGTCGTTTGCATGATTACTGCTTTACTTTCCCTGCCCCCCTCCAGAACACATTCCTATTCTCAGACTGTAAGAGAAAACAACCTAACATTTCCATTTCTTATTAAACTAGATACTCATTTTCCAAGCTGCTGGTTGTCGTTTAAAGACAGAAACACACCAGAAATCACTACTACACTGATTGAAAACTGGAGAAAGATTGCTCAGCATGAGGGATGCAAGTTACCCCAATGTAACAAGGGAAGGTGGCACAGAGGATGGCAAATTGACTGTAGACAAACTGAACAGCTATTATGTGAGCAAAGAACATATTTGTATTGTGGCAAGGAATGTTGGCTGTAACAGCAAATTTTCCTCTATTTTGGAGCCCATACCATGTGATCCTTTTATTTCTGCATGGGTGACAGATGGGCTGAAAACTCTTGTCCTGTCACATCATTCAACAGGCAACTTTTCTGACTAGAGAGCCCAAATATTCTCTCAGTGTGAATGATGTGCCTCAGTTTCCCAACACTGTGAGCTACTACCTGTAAGACAATACTCAGAAAGATACAAAAATCACCTCCACTCTTCCTTTATCTTAGAACAACAGCACTTAAGGAAATCCAAGACATTTAAGTTTCTTTAAAAAATATAGTTTCCTATGGGACAGAGACAAAAAAAACCCAAACTCTTATGAATCTCTACCTACTAAAGGCACAGATCTTACATAGAAAAAAATTCTGATCCAGAGGAGGTTTTAATATTAATTACACAAAAAGAGAATTTGTAAAATATTTTTGACTTCTGAGTTTCATTTTTATTTAGGCTTAGATCCTGCAAATATCTGTGTACCATTAAAATTTCCTCCTGTCACAGAAGAATGGCTACATATAATCAGTAAGGTGCACGTTTTTTTGTACCAATGAAGTTTGCAATTTCTCCGAAGCAGTCCCTTTTGCCCCACATTTTAAAGAATCTGCAAAGTGGTTAGCATGATGGAGCCTGCTCCTGACTGGGACTTTGAACACTGCTGCAAAAATGCAAAAAAAAAAAAACAACCCAAAAACAAAAAAACCAACATATTTGTTGAATGATGCAAAAGATTGCTAAATTAAGATCTCTGTTTTAAAAGAGCAAGCAAAAACAAGCAAATCAAAAACACTTCCTCATTTGGATTTTTAGGAATTTGAATATCCAAAAGGGGAAAGCATTTCTTCAGTTGTATGCACTGAAAGTTACTTACATGTGTTTCTTTATAACTACAAGATTGAGCATCAAGCCTTGGAGAAATTGCTACTGGCTGCCAGAAGATCAGTTACTTGTCCAATTGCACTTATTTTGAAACTTCAGGTAGGGAAAAAGGCACACAATGCGCTCTGAAGAAAAGCAAACCACTGCACCACATCAAATAAAAGCAACCAAGATCCCGCCAAGTGCATCTCTCCACTGATTTACTTATTCAATTTAACTTCTGGAGCACAGAAATAATATATAGGAGTGCTCTCGACTAGGCAGT